AACAGTTTTACTTTTCTAATAAATAGAATGCAGATATCCCAGAGCACGTGGTAAGTAAAACATGCTGATTCTAATGACATGAAATAACTTTTCTTCTCTTGGACTAGTCTTCTATCCTTTCACGATTTTTTTTTAAGCTTTGTCTCTAAACATAGTAATTCTGCAGTTATCCATATATTAATACTAGAATACAAAAGAAGTAAGACTTTATTGTCTTTTCTTCAGAAGCAACAGGTATGGGACACTACCTTTTTCTGTTCATGTGGTGGTAAAGATGTGGCTTCTGGGTGTCTTAAAAATTATTAAAATTGTAAAATTGGAAATTAGTTTTATTAGAATTAAGGAATTACCCAACCTAAAATTTATTAAAGTTTTCTCTAAAACAGAAAGATAAAAATGGTGACATTTGACTTCTAGAGATATTGATGAGGAAACTTAAGTTTTTCTTGATCTCATAATTAATGAAATCTATATTTTAAACATAAGGTGTTATGTTGAAATTTTGCAGCAAAGGATTGTAATTAATGAAGAAACCCCACAAAACAACAAACAACCCACCAAACCAGAAAACCTTTTACTCAGTGTTTGTTTATATATTGATTTGTATATGGTCATAATGTGATGGGAGTCCAAATACAAGCAGCAGCCTGCTTTCTGTTTTAGTTCTGTGTTGAGTGTGTTTTAACTCTAAAGCCACCTGTGTTTTGGGTAGTTTGTTGCTAATTGCCAGAACACAGGAAATGTATCTGCAGGCTGGAAAATGAATGATTTTTTCACTGGCCTTTCAGTGAATAAATGGCTCATTAAGAACAGCTGATTACTAGTGGCTCCATGTAGCTTGTGAGCTGTGCCTGTTTTGTGACATGAGCAGTAAGGAAGAATACACAGGGTGCTCCAGCCAAAGCCAGCCTGACTTTTGTAACAGTTGTCTTCTCAATTAGTTTTCTATTTGCAAAAAATTGTTGTGAGATATTCAGATTTAAAAGCTGAGTGGGAAGAAAACCCAGCAACATACAATTTAATGGTAAAACAGGTACAAACTGAAAAAAGCCCCACAAGTAAAAGTGAAATCAAACATGATCACATTTCTAGAAGAAAAGTTTGCTTAAAGAGCTTTCCTCTGAGGGAAATACAATTCAGAGAGTGTCACTTTGCAAGCTCCTTTTCCTTTGATTAACTTGGTTATCCTAGCTTGTTTATCCTTTTGTAGTTAGTGAAAGTGCACAAATCTGATAGATCATAATAGACATTATTTCTGTGGCAGACTGTGATAGTATTACGAAATATTGTTATTATGAACATCACATTCACTCAGTTCTGAAAAATGATTGTGAACAATCAAAAAAAGTGGGTTTTTTTGTACAAATTAGTTTTGACTAATCAAAACATCTATACTCTCAAAAAATTGAATTGTCATTAGGAAATGTTAGTTAAGTGTAATTGTGAAGATAATATATTAAATTAAACATAATAAGATTCTCAGGTTGACTTGGAAATAATGTATCAATGAGCTATTCCTAGCTCAGTCACTAATCATAAGACCTTCAGGGTGGAAATTTTAGAAGTTGTTCATTCAGCTCTAGGGATCTGTAGTGCAGGGTGTTTGCTCACCATGCAGCATCCAGCTGAGGTTAGAAACCATAATATTGTCTGGAAATTCTCTTCATGTCCACTGCAAGCTGAGGTGAAATATATGTATATTGTGTTTTCAGTACTATGCACTTATGCTTAGGAAGACAAACCATAGGAAAATTATGTAAAACTTTTTATGTTTATTCTCAGAATGCTTTTTACATGCTGGCAAACAGGAGAAGAGGTAGCTAGAATTATTTGGCCTTAAGGTGGGAACAGAATTAAGCCAGCACTGGCCACAGCCAAAAAATTCTGTTCATTTATTCTCTTTAGTAAAGAGCTGAGACTTATGTCTGTTTTAGTTAATTTATAGAAAAACCTGAAAAGGTTGTAACTCTATGTTGGTTTTTTTGTTTTTGTTTTTTTTGGTCAGGAGGTTGATTCTAAAGTCAGATGGTTCCTTCCAAGCCAAACATACTTGTTCATGTTTAACTGAATTTTTCAAAAACATTTTAGTTTAAAACAAGTGAAATTTAAGAAGATGTGACTTTTAAAATCACAGTGAACATCTAATATATCTGCATTGATCTTGTCATTTAGCTGCAGTCTTCTATTTTTTGTCATCCTTTGGAGACTCAGAAAATAATTACATTTTTAAAAATAAAGCTATTTTACTTGGATTTAAGTATATTCAAAATTCTCCTTGTGAACACTTGGCATTTTATATACAAAAAACTGGCTTAACATTATATACTTCTCATACAAGCCTTTGAGTCTTCTGGGATGTAGGGATCAGTGTAAAAGGTCAGAGAACAAAATTCAAAATGTGTTTAAACTGATGGAGAAAAATCACATTGACTTAAATGTATTTTTTATTGGGTTACTGTGATTATACACTGCTGAGTTCCTGTTGACATCAGTTGGTCTTTCTGCCTTAAGAAAGATTGGAATATATCCTAGACATGCAGTGCCTGCAAACAGGACAAAAAGCCCCACTGTTAGCAGACATCAACTGTTTATTAATTTGTCTCTCTGTAAATATTGGCAGCATCCAAACTTCAGATCAGTGTTCAGCTGTCTCTGACAGTTCTAATGACAACAAAAGCAAAATAAGCTGCATTTTGGATTATGAAAATAACAATTACAACAATTAAATTACAAATGCTGTTTAATCTGAAAGGAATGTTTTAGAAATAGTGGGGGTGTTTTTCTGGTAGACTAAGGACACAAGAAGTGTAGAAGAATTAATATTTTAACTAACCCGTGTAGCTGTAAATAAAAGACAAGGTTTTTTTCAGACAGACGTTCCCTTCTTCATGCCAAGTCTCTCCTGAAAGTTTGCTCTTCCTATTCTCAAAATGCCACTTTAATATCAGAGACACAACGCATATTTTGGAGAAATTATTCAAGTGGAAGACATCAGTCAGATCCAAAGTGCCAGGGTGTCATATTCTTTGGAATATAGCTTACTTATTTTTTCATACACCATAGCAAGCAGTAGTAGCAATTTCTCCATGTACCTTGATCACCAAAAATGGTTGAATGGTTGTGTGGCTGGTAGGGCTGTCACTTTCCATTCACATAGCTCTCTGTGGCATCAGGGCACACCAGACTATGCAGTGTATTTTACCCTTATTAAGTGGATACAATAGTTGGCTGCTGACTTGTTTTTCGTAATTGGTAATTAGCAAATCATCATTTATAATTACTCTTGACACTTATTGATCTCATGGTATTGTAGAAATAAGTTGTCCTTGGAGATCATCAACAGAATAAATCCACATAATTAATTGTACTTAGACTTAGAAGCCCTGGCTCAATACTTCTAATTATGGTTGTGTTTAGCTCAATGAACTTCACTGTTTTCATAAGGATTTGGCAATATGTTATTCCACAAGTATGAAAATGGCACTTCAGGAAAGAGGTGTTTTACAGTACAATATTGTAGAGAATTAGGTCTTATTTTGGTTGTATAGAAAGTGTAGTATTAGCTCTTTTGCAAGTTTTTATTGACCAGTATTTCCAGTATTCCTGAAAATGTTAGCTTGGGTAAAGGCTGCAATATCAAAACCTCAATGTATAGGAAGACTTTTAGGAATCTTAAGCATTTTCATAAAGAATCACAGATTGGGTAAGATTTATTGTGTGTTTTTAGAATTTGTATTTTATCTATGTTTGGTTTTGTTTGCTTTATTTGTGCAGGTTTACTTATGAAATTGCTCCTGTTTTTGTTCTCATGGAACAAATAACACTTCGAAAGATGAGAGAGATTATTGGATGGCCAAATAAGGATGGAGATGGAATATTCTCACCTGGTGAGTTTTCCCTTTCTGTTTTGGTGGTTTGACTAAAACTTCAAAAATTTAAACAAAACATACACTGTGTTCAAATGCAAATGATATCTGCAACACAAACCAATTTGCCAAGTATGGGAATTTCCCACCTGAAGTGCATACTTTGTTTAAGCATCCCTCAAAAATGTTTGGGTCAAAAAAAACCAACTGAGTATGGCTATGTATTTTAGCTTGCCAACGTTTTAAGATGTGACTACAAGATCTGGTGCATAGTTGGGCACACTTTTTTTTGTGATTTATTTCTGGAGATGCTGGGAAACTACAACTCCTGCTGATCAATAGCTCTGGAGAGTTACATACTGATGACTTTGATGGTCAGAGAGGATTTTGGCTTACAGTCAGAAAAAAAGACTTTGACCTCCCTGTCTCTTTCTGGAACATATTATCTAGGACATAATCTGCCTGGATTCACAAGTACGATTCTGATAATCAAGACAAAGTTTCTTCCCATGAAGGAGATATAAAAGGAATCAACAGTGGCAGAAAGGATTGTCAAAACATGTAGAAGTTCTGGGTGCATGTGTGAGCAGCATGGGGCTTGGGGTGGGGTGGACACCATCCTGTTTCAAAGGATAAAGGATTCCATCACCTTTTTGGAACATTGGCATAAAATCCAGGAATGCACACTTGCTTAGTCTCCAGTCCCATCTGCTAGAATAATACAGATATTTATCAGTGTTCTTGTTGGTTAAGAAGTGTTAGAGGAATAAGTTACTTCAGACTTCATAGATGAGATTGAAAGGACTAAATCTTGATACATGTCATAGAACTGAGATAACTACCCTGAGCTCTTTTTAGCAATAAACCAAGATAAATAGGTGCTTTCCCTCAATTCATTCTTCAAAAGTGTCAAAATAAATTAGCTGAATCATAGCCTGCAAAGTGCCTCTTCCCCTTAAGTGACTGTAAGGAAGCCTAAAATAGCTAGCCAGCTGTAGAAACCTACCTTTTAGACCTCAACTTCTGTATTTACAATGAGACATGATAAATCCGTTCAGTATGTGACATTTCTTTAGTGTCAGACAAATTATTAAGATCCTGTTATTCTTGCTAACAAGAAGTTGTAATGCAAAAGCAGCACAATGAAAGCTGAACTATTCAGGAACATGGTGCAAAATGATAGCAATTGAAAGAGATGATGGATAGGAACTATTCCAACTATTCCCTTTCTAGAGGGTTTGTCCCTATGCTGTTTAGACAGATGACTGTGCATGTCAGAGATTTATTTTTTCCATAGTTCACTGTCACTTTCACTACATAATGCAGATGAGACTTGCGTGTCTTTGGTCTAATGCATTTTTTCTCATTATGGCTATTTTATTATTCATTCATTTACTCATTCACAGGAGGAGCTATCTCCAACATGTACAGCATAATGGCTGCACGATACAAGTATTTCCCTGAAGTCAAAACCAAAGGCATGGCTGCAGTCCCTAAGCTGGTTCTTTTTACCTCAGAACATGTGAGCTTAATATGCTGCTGATTCTTAATTTATAGATGTATGTTGTGGATATGTTTAGTTACTAAACAACCACTCCATTAAATGTGTGTATGTTTTGCTGCAGAGTCACTACTCAATAAAGAAAGCTGGAGCTGCACTTGGATTTGGAACAGACAATGTGATCTTGATAAAATGCAACGAAAGGTAGGATGAATGCTAAAGGTTTGATCTATTAAGTGTGTTCATCTGTTAAATTTGTTGTATTGTGCTTAAGGACTGGTTCAGTACAGTGTGTCAAGTTGCTAATGGCCTGTTGAGAAAATCCTATTAAGTTATTTTGACTGTAGCTGGTATTCCATATGGATTCTTTAATTTTCTTTCTGTTTCTAAATAATTATAGAGGCAAAATAATACCGGCTGATTTGGAGGCAAAAATTTTGGAAGCAAAACAAAAGGTTTGTGTTTTTAAAAATTAATGCTTAAATGCTTGGCTTAGTAGAATTACCTTTTCACTTGGAGACTGAGGTTTAACATTAGAAGATCACCTTTTAATGATATAAGTGTTATAATAGTATTTTCAGCTGCTTAATTATACATTCATGTATTGTTTAGAGAATTACCTGTATGTCTTGCTAAGGTTTCAATGTACTGTTTAAAAAAAAAAAAAAAAGTATTAACTTTTGTATTTTATAACTTTAAAAAATAACTTTCTGTTTGGAAAGCTATGGAAAAAATTAGGAAAACAGGAAACTAAACCTACTGTTACCCAAACTTTAAAGATTAGCCAAAACTGTGAAAATTTATATGGAAGTTTAAGTCCTAAATTCTCACTGATTTCAAGGCTGCAAGTTAGAAAATATGGCTAGTAAGTTTAATTTTTTGAGGCATTAATTGTTATTGCTTGAATGAATGCAGTGAAAAATCTATTGATGTTGCATAAAACCACTAAAGTTAAAGCAATCAAATTTATTATTATTTATTGCTTACTTTAATTTGGGCACTCTATGAAAAAGGAATTAACTTTTAAAAATCTAATTCAAAATTCTCTGACTTTGATCTGATATTTCCACATTTATTGCTTTTGAATTGGATTGCTTTGTTCAGCTTTGTTCTGTTTATTAGTAGATAAAGACTAAAGGAACTTCAAGTCTTTGAATCACAATTTAAAAATCACATTTAATTAATTTTTCTTTATAATGCTGTAAAAGTCTCAACTTTACTTGACTATTGCTAGCTCTCTACTAGAATGTTTGAATCCCCCTACTGAAAAAACAATAGACAAAATAATACTCTTACAATTAGTAAATTTGGTGAAGTTACAGTACAATAAAACCAGAGTTTGTTCCTACCATGTGTAGTATTCATTAGTTTCTACTGTTGCTTTTATGTGCCTTTCACATGGGAACAAAACAAAAATTCAGACTGGAAAACAGGATAGCAACATTTCTAAAATTATTTTTGCATAGATTTATTGGGGTTTTTTTCTGAAAGAGATTGGATTTTGTATTTAGTATTTTTATTTTTATTATAGGGATACATTCCTCTCTTTGTAAATGCAACTGCAGGCACAACAGTGTATGGAGCTTTTGATCCAATACAGGAGATTGCAGATATATGTGAAAAATACAACCTCTGGCTCCATGTAGATGTAAGTAACTAAATGAATTGTCACTATTCGTAGAACCTTAGAATCATAGAATGGTTAAGGCTGGAAGTGACTTTAAAGATCATCAAGTTCCAGCCTCCCAGTTATGAGCAGGGACACCTCACACTAGACCAGGCTGCACAAAACCTCATCCAACCTGACATTAAACAGCTCCAGGGAAGGGGCGTCAACAACCTTCCTGGCAACCTATTCCAGTGCCTTACTACCCTCATGGTGAAGAATTTTCTCCTGATGTCTAACCTAAATCTTTCAGTTTAAAACCATTGCCCCTTGTCCTGTAACTACTTTTCACTCCCTGGTGAAAAGTCCTTCCTCAGCTTTCCTGTAGGGCCCTTCAAGTACTGGAAGGCCACTATATGGTGTCCCCTGAGCCTTCTCTTCTCCAGGCTGAACAGCCCCAACTCTCTCAGCCTGTCTTCATAGCAGAGCTGCTCTGATCATCTTTGTGATGATCTGAATCCTCTCCAACAGGACTATATGTTTCCTGTGCTGAGGGCTCCAGTGCTGTATGCAGCACTCCAGGTGGGGTCTCACCAGAGCAGAATAGAGGAGCAGAATCCCCTCCCTGGCCCTGCTGGTCACACTTCTTTTGATGCAGCTCAGGATGTGGTTGGCTCTCTGGGCTCCAGCACACACTGGCAGCTTCTCTACTACCACCCTAAGTCCTCCTCAGGACTCCTCTCTAGCTGTTCTTCCCCAGCCTGTATTTGTGCCTGGGGTTGCGCAGACCCAGGTACAGGACCTTGCACTTGGCTGCCTTGAACTTAATGAGGTTGGCATTGGCCCAACTCTCCAGACTGTCAAGGTTTTTCTGGATGGCAACCCTTTCCTTTAGGGTGTCAGCTACTCCATGCAGCCTGGTATCATCAGCAAACTTGCTGAGGATACACTCAATCCCACTGTCCATGTCTCCAACAAAGATGTTGAAAGTGCTGGTCCTAGTACTGACCCCTGAGGAGCACCACTTTTCACTTGCCTCCACTTGGGGCAGTTGACCACAGGTCTCTTCTTAGGTTCTGAGTAAATTAAAATATGTTAGACTTTTCCAAAACAATTAATTTTCTTTTTTTCTCTCTTCCAGGCTGCCTGGGGGGGTGGCCTCCTAATGTCCCGAAAACATCGTCATAAATTGAATGGAATAGAAAGGTACTACACGGTTCTTATTTGTAATACTGTTATTAAAATGCTTTTATAAAGTACATGACAATTCACAAATTAATTAAAAGATACATTTGATGCATTAAGCATTGAAGAACCAGAAAACCAGAATATTTCCCATCACTGCAGATATCAGCTTCCAGGGAAGCAAAAAGTATTTGAAATGAGCTCTACCCATGTACTCTCAAATTAGCACCAAATTGCTTCCTTGAGTCAGCTGTGCTGAAAGTGGGCATTGTGTGAAGGCATGAAATTAGAACAGTGAGCAGGGCTCTTCCTTAGGGAAAACAAACTTTCAGAGTGGTGGGCATCTCATACAGGATAAAGAATACAGTACAGATGGACTGGTGGGTAAACCAAATGGACCTTCTGTAGCAGGGACAGCAGTGTGTCCTGTGGCAGGAATACTCTAAAGTAGAAGGATCATATCAACCTCTGTCCAATCCAGTTTGCAAGTCACTCATGTTATGGCAACATGTCTAATATGAGGTCAGCATTTTAAAATGTTATCCTTAAGCTACAGAGGTTTGGTCACAGTAGTTTGGAAGATGTCTCTTGATCTGAGGTCAACCCAGAGATTATAATCAAGCCCATAATATTAAGTGAGTACAGAAAGTAGCAGGCCACAAAGCATATTATTTACTTCTAGTCAATGCCATGGGTCTTCAAACATGGGGCCCAAGTGTACTGTGGCCTGTCATGGGCCCCAGCTGGGGTCTGTTGCTAACACTCCAGCCAGGTTTGTCTTGCCTAGGGACACGGGGGGGTAAGGGCTGTCATGCTGCCATGGTGCAGAGCTGGGGTAGCCTGTGGTTGGATTGCTTCCACCTGGCTGGCCCTGCAGGGTGGAGAGTGATGCCTTCATGTTAAAAGAAGCCAAATGCTCCTCATAAAAATGACTTGAAATTGTCTTTGTTTGGAACCCTGAAGGTTAAATAAATGTGCTAAACTGAAACTATAGTGCTCTCAAATGGAAAGGAGCTGTTATATAAATTCCTGTTTCTTGTCTACTGCATCAGAACTACTAATGAAATTCTTTAAAAGATAATTGCCTCCTAAGACTGGGCTACATATATACCTGCTGGTTTGCATTGCCTGAGCAGGAGATTTTAGAGGGATGGTGAACTCCCCAAGTAGAGCACTGGCTGCACTGTTCTTTTGGCTGAGGGATGCTGTGGTCTAATCTACCTCAGACAGAGGCTGGAATCTTATCTGGGATCTTTATGGAACTGGTGGTCTTCACACTGGGATGAAGAAATCATTGTGATGCTCAAACTGGAGGAACTGATTGTATCAGTGACCTCTGAGAGCAGAAGGTAGAAGAGGAGGAAATATCTTCAATATTCTTTCAACCGCATTATAAATTTGTGAAACATTATTATACACTTCTCTGAAACACTCAGTGAATCAAGGGGACAGTTAGTGATTAATTACTCAGGGTGAAGAGGTCAGTGGATGTGCAATGTTGGTACATTTATTTTAGTGTCATCATTAAACTGTCTAGAATACCATGTTAAAAATATGGACCATCTCAGCTGTTTGTCTAGTAAATTATGTGATGCTGTGCATCCACCTGTGCTTACATGAAAAAATTGTAAGCTTTACATACAGAATGGTAGGATTGTGATGTAAAGTTTTATAGCCTTTTAACAGTCCATGGGCTTCACAAGCTATTATAGAAAAGGCCTCTTGTGGCTGTAACTGGAGAAGCAGATAAGCACACAGTGTCTTTGCTTTCTACTTCTTCAGCAGCTGTTCAGTAAAGAACTGTATTCTCCTAGAATTCATATTATTCCTCTAATTCTCTAACAACGCCTCCCCCAATCAGTATTTTGAATTAATATAACCTGTCAAACTGTTTTTGTTAGTTTTATTAGTGCTGTTTCTAGAATAGGAGTCTTCTGGGGATGAAGTTACTATATCAACTAATCTGGATAGTCTGACACTAGTTAGCTGGTATTGGTAATAAGGTAAACTAATCACAAGTCTGATGTTGCAATGTTAATGAATGAAAAATTCCTTTCCTGGGCAGTATAGCTGGGTAAGAAGACACTTGAGACAGTACTAAGTTCCATAATTAAATCACGGTCAAAACTCCATACATTTCCAGCTGAAAGTGGAAAACAAAGATGACTGCTTCAGGATAAGTTTCTGATTTCCAGGTCTATCTGAATGTGTAATTTTTTTTTGCAGAGCCAACTCAGTCACTTGGAATCCACACAAAATGATGGGGGTGTTGTTACAATGTTCTGCCATTCTTGTCCGGGAGAAGGTCTGCTTTATATTTAATAATTAAGTGGTTTAAAAAATATACATGTAAATATTAAGCACTATCTTTTAAGAGAGTAATTAAAAATCCATTTAATTAAAAAACTTCTGTTAGAAGGAATAAATGTCTGGATTTACATTGTGTTTAGGATTTTTTTTAATCTTTGCAGTTTTTTGGGTTTTGGTGTGGTGTTTTTTGTTGTTGTTGTTGTGGGTTGTTGTTTTTTTTTAAATTGTAGACAAAAAGTCAGATCTTAAGCTGTTGAATCTTTGCATATTTTAATAACAGCACTAGAGCCAGGCTAATATACTTCATCTGGCCACCTACCCTGTTGTTTCTATGAAATACTGAACATACACCCTTGGTGTTAGTAATTTGCCATAGTCTAAATTGCTTAAATATAATACAAATATGTTACATTACAGAGTGGTTTAAATGTTCCTCAATTCTGTTGAAAATAAACTATGCTGCTTTTATTATGATTCCATATGTATTTTTAAGGCTTTCCTCTAAATTCGTCATTGTCATCAATAAAAGCAAGGTCAAGTATCTTCATTCATTTAAGCAGTATGTATTTTCCTTAGCTGATTAAAGGAAAAAGTCATTTAGTCTGTGGATAGGACTAAATCTAATGTCTAGTGAATTCTGGCACGTCAATTGTTACAGGAAGAGGTTAATTGGAGAAGTGGCCCCTGAGCTTAAAACTAGGATGTAGGAGTTGTGTGTTCTAGCCTTAGGTCTGTCATTGCTCGTCCAGGTGACCCATGTCTAAACTGAAGAATGCAGCATTTATTTCCCTTTATAAAACACTTTGGCATGGATTGGAGGGAAGTACTACCCATTATTTAGTGGCATGCATGCTTATCATGCTAACTATTACAGGATTTTGGCAACATTTTTTATTCTCTATAGGAGAACTTTGATAGATCTTTTTGTATTTATCATATATGCCAGCGTCTCTGAGCTTCTTCAAAGCACCTCTACTAAACTGCAAAGGAGATGCAAAACATTTTAGAAATGTCACATGCATAAGACTGCAATGTAACATGCAGAAATTTGCTCCTTTCTGTTTCCCTCAGAGATGTTTACCAGTAATCTGTAGGTTTCTACTGGTCTGTGGACTGTACTTACTTATAAGCAAAAAATGTCTTGTTTAGGTTATTTGTACTTATCACTAATGTTAAGTGTCAAAAAGCTGGACAATATATAAGTTGAAGCCTTAAATTATTTTTCTTTCCCCTTTTATTTTCTGCAGCTATCTGCTGCACTGAGAGATCACAGCTCTAATTTAGTGTGTAATTTAACACATCCAATTTTTAAGTCTTAAGAACATAGCCTTACAAAGTGAAGTGGACACAGTATAAAAAACCTAAGAATCCAAATTAATCTGAGAATGTTTTTTCAGGTGTGGGTGAATCAAATCATATGACTACTCCGAGACTTCTAAGAAAACCACTTTAGGTTATAAAATTATTTTTGTGGCTCAGGTTTCCAAACCAGGGCAGTATTTTGTAACTTGGCCCACTGAAGAAAAAAACATTCTGTATATATTTGAAATATTTTTTTTATATTATTAATGCATACAGTTTCATATGCACATATGCCATGTAAGTCATGTAAATACATGTTTTTCATTACAGGGCATACTTCAAGGCTGCAATCAAATGTGTGCAGGGTATCTCTTCCAGCAAGACAAACAGTATGATGTATCCTATGACACTGGAGATAAGGCAATACAGTGTGGTAGGCATGTGGACATCTTCAAATTCTGGTTGATGTGGAAGGCAAAGGTAAATAATAAAAGTTAAGCTCAAAAATCAGAAATGTATTCATTTAATTTGTAAGTCTAATGATGTGGAATACTTTTTTTTATAACATAAATGTTTGTGTAGTTGTGGTCTCTAAACACACAGGTATCTGAGGATTGAGTCAGAAGAGAGTAATCTGAATTGTAGAACAATGTTAGCCATCAATAAATTCAGCTGGAAATTAGAAGAAAGGTTAAAGTCACTGGATGAGTCCTGCAGTAAAACCAGTGAAGGCAGGACATCAAAATGGTCTTTTCTTGTAATTCTGTGCACTTAGATATGTATTATATGACAGATTACTTACAGAGTACTTGATGACTTAGAAGGATCCTTTAAGCATCATGTTTCAATGCATAGATTTTATAAGCAACTTTGAAAACAAAGACCTTTTCTTAAGAAGCTTCATCCAAATAATAATTTAAGTTGATTCTCTAATTCTACTGTGGTATGCCTGGATGGCTTAATTTAAGCATGGGCTTAAATACAGGCTTATGTGTTCCCAAGACGAGGGCCCAGGTAGTACATACACACATCATTTTTAATTATTTATCTGCAGTCATTTTATTACTGTTTGTTCTGCTGACAACATGGGAATTCAGTCGGGTAAAATGTCCACAGTCTTATCTTTTTTATAAAACTGAAATAAAATCTAATGGCAAAATGTACAACAGTAAATCAGTTTTCACTTCAGATGGGAGTTAGACAGCAATAGGAAATAACCTGTGATGATAAAAGATGTTTCCGTTCAGATTTTCTTGATATTGAAGGATGAGGGAAGAAAGCAACTGAACTTTAGATACAGGTACTTTTAAACAGATTGTAGAGTTGTCGTTGATTTTTAAAAGTACTTCAGAAAAAGAAACAGAACAATTCAACACAAAATACTTATAACACTTTAGCAATCAGCATAGGTTTGATTACCAGGCTAAGTACTTTTCAGTTCAGACTCTGTTCTTCTTCCAAAATAAATTATTTGGGTACTGTAATGTAGAAATATGAAACTGCTTATGACACAGTAGATTGGACTGTGACTAGCAACTTTGAAGTGTCTTGTTTATGGTTCTAGTTTTCAAGTGCTGACTACAGAAACCATTAAAGGACGGATTTAATGTTTTTCTAAGTACCAAGTGAACACATTTTGTTAAGATTAACATGCAGTTTCTACCTCTCCTGATATATTCACCTTTTAAACTGACCTCATTAAAGAATTAGAGCACTTGACAAGAAAGAACAAAATACAGTGGAAACCATAATGGATATGGGTCATATTCAAAAGCAGGATATTTCTGTATGGTATTATTTAAAAATAATATAGATTAAAAATGTTAAGTTGATCTTTATATATAGAAATTAAATTTCTCCAGAAACTAGTTACTTTGTATTTCTGTTTATCTTGAGACTGATTCAGATTTCTTGGACCTGAGTTCTCTGAGGTATTGGTTAATATCTGTTTATAGCAGATTACATATGTAACAAAAATGTTAAGAAAACAAAACATTAGGAGGTATGGAATTTTTTCCTCCAGCATTAGCCACCATGGGGGATCAGACTCTTGTCCTCACAGTAGAAATACACAGCCTAGGTAAAGAAGTATCTTGTCACTTGAACTTCAGTCATTTTATTCAGTGCAAATAACTTACCACAAATGTGCAATAATCTAAGAGCACACTTGTCTTTTTTACTTCCTAATTCATGCATAAAGTGTACATAGAGGGAATAAAAAAAAAAAGTTGTGGGCTTTTTTTTTGTTGGTGGTTTTTGTGTGTGTGTTTTTTTTTATTTATTATAAACATCCTTCCACTTTTTCTGGGATTATGATCTTCCTACACAAATCAGATATAACAAAAGATGACTAGGTAGGCAAATAACTTTTAGTAGCCATACCAGACTTTTGCTTGCTGACTTTTTAAAATACTAATTCTTAGCAAACTGTTTAGAAGAAATTAATCACTCTCCAACTGTTAACTTTTCAACTGAGTTTCCATTCCGTGTTCATAGTTTTTCAGTGAGGCCTGGGAAGCCAAAATTTAATATCCATAATATTTTCAGAAAATGGGGAGGGGGGGAGGAAGAGCTAAAAATAATCTATTAAAATATCAAAAGCCTTTGTTAGCATCATAATAAATTATCTTAAACCAAGACCAAAACCAAACAGTGATTAGTTAGGCCACATTTAGCCAGTTCTGTAGCACTGATTAATTTTACTTTTAAGTTACAAGAAATAATACTGCTAAGTATTTTCTGACTACAAGCATTTGAGAATGAAGCCTATCTGAAAATATTATTTCATTGGAGGAGGTAAAATTACCATATAATGAATACTTTCTTTTTTAAACAGGGTACAGTAGGATTTGAAAATCAGATCAACAAATGCCTGGAGCTGGCAGAATATCTCTATACTAAAATCAAAAACAGAGAAGAGTTTGAGATGGTTTTTGAAGGGGAGGTATGTTTTATTTCCTTTAATCTGTGTGTAGGAGCCTAATCTGTGTGCAATTTCGAGAACAGACTTCACACTTCTCGCAGTTCTTCAAGCCAACTGTGCAAAACTGCTCTTATTTTCTAAAGAACTACATAACTACTTGCATCTGGGCAGTTTTATTGGCCAAATGCATGTGTTTTATACCATGAATGTCAGCTTTATCTCCTCTCCTTTTCTGCAGAGGACTTCTCAGTTTAGGGCATGCAGACTACCTCAGTAAGATCTGCTCATGCTGAGACTCCACATTACAACATAGATAACTGACAGTCTGCTACTTTTGGTGTATGCTCTGTTGCTAGCGCCACTGCATAAACTCTTGGTGATAGAATAACAAACATACTTTGTCTCTCCATTTACTAAGAAAAGGATAGCTGGGTTGCTCTTACTGTGATCCTGGAAAACAGTTCCTCATAAAACTGCATTAAGGTGAAAAGCATTTGCAGTTTATCAGCACCCTGAAACACTGGAACCAGCAGTACTTGTAACCCTTTTTTCTGTGCTTGTTTTAACATGCAGAACTAGGAAAGTTAATACTATATTTTGTCTTCCATGTTTGTGCTAAAATACCCTACTGACTAGCGTTAAGTTTGTGATTGATCTGTATTCTTTTGTTTATTGATGTTATGTGTTTGGTTCTTTTTGCAGCCTGAGCATACAAATGTATGTTTTTGGTATATTCCACCAAGTCTCAGGGGTATGCCAGACTGTGATGAGAGGAGAGAAAAGTTACACAAGGTGTGTGGGTTTTGCTAAATACAAAAATATAATCTACTCTTTCAACTCAGTGTTCTGTTTATTAAAAATAACGTATCTGTATGCTGACATGTGTTCCAAATTCTGGGACATCAGTTCTCTTATGATCTTGATATTTATTCACATTTGTTTCCTAGTTACAGTGAGGGTGAAGTCATATTTCTGCTATAGAACCATGTGCAGAAAATATTGTTATTTTTTGTTCTGAATCACCTCTGTGCTCCCAGAAGTGTTACGAACTTTTAAAAAGCAGCTAAGTCCCAGTTCTGTTTGAATACAACAGCATATCAGTGAGAGAAATGGAAGGGTAATTATTTGAAAATGCTGGGACAGGTCAAGGATATGGGAACCTATAACTCCTTCTCAGGCTTGTATTTTGATTTTAAATGTGCTTGGTTAGTCATGCATTAATGCATTCCAGTGAAAACAAAAATAGTTTGGAATAAATTTATCTGAAGAAATCAGAGAGGGAAGAGAAGAGTCATAGAGGTAGCACCACAAAATGTATTGTGTTACTTAGGACTTGAGGCAAGTGAAATGTATTAATTTTGTAGTAGCATTTTAGACAGGCAGAAGAGGAATGAAATACATTCAGGAGAGAAAAAAAAATATAGTTGCCAAAATTAATTGCTTTTTTTTTTTTTTTTTTTTTTTCTTCAATGCTTGAGAAGGGAGAAGAATGGCCAAACTCTTAAGAGTTTTTTATTAGGATTTTGTGTCTGCATCACATTGAGGAAAGAGAACATAACAGAGTAGAAAACCCTGGGTCAACCCAGTGATATGTTAGACAAAGAAATTGCCAAAAAAGAGAGAAAAGAGGAAAATAGATAAGACTGGAAAGAAGTATGAAAATTTTGACTTGATGCTGACATAATAAAGCATCCTACAAAGCAATAAAAGAGCCAGACATCTGACCTTGGTCGGCAGAGAGTAAGAAAGAGAGAGGGAAAGTCTGGATGGAAAAACTGGGCTCAGGCAAACCAAATGTTTAGACTGTCAGAACATTATTCCTTGTGAGTTAAAGTGAGGAAGTGAGGTGTGGTAAATGCACAGTGCTGCAAAACTACTGGAAGGTTTAAATGGCTTATGCTAACAGAAAATATTATTTCTGATGTACATCTTCTTGAAAAATTTCCCTTGTTGTTTTCTGCCCACCACCACCCTAGAAAATGATATTGAGAATAGATAGTATTCTCATGGAAAATGTCCATTACCCTCAAAAATATGGTTCTGGATTAGGTTTTCATAAAAAGAGAGAGAATATTTCTTCATGAAAAAAAATTCAGCACAAAAAAATGACACATACATTTAATATATATAATTATTACATAGTGAGTACTCTAGGATATTGTTACTTGATTCATAAAAAAAGATGGACATTATTGTTGACAATTTTCCTCTAAATATCCAATTCAACTAGTTCAGTTTTCGAGCTTTTTCTGTTACAGATCTTTTTATAAAATCTGGTACCTTTCTGATCTATCAGTTTATTTTTTCCAAGTTAAGAAATATTGTGACATACAAAGAAAGGATAACATTTTTTAATTACCCTTCTCTCTCTCTCTTTTTTTTTTTTTTTAAATTTTATTTTATTATAAAGGTGGCACCAAAAATCAAAGCACTGATGATGGAGTCAGGTACTACCATGGTTGGATATCAGCCTCAGGGCGATAAAGTCAACTTCTTCCGAATGGTCATCTCAAACCCAGCAGCAACTAAGTCTGACATTGACTTCCTTATTGAGGAAATAGAGAGATTGGGGCAGGAACTGTAGTACAGTGGTTGAATTATTTATTTCTCTAATTCACTGTTTTCCAGCACTGGCTATTTTTCTTATCCAGTGCTGCAGCACATGTTTTAAGGAAATTCTCTTTCTGTAAGTTCCGATCTCCTAAGACATCCTTAAACAAAACAACTATAGGCTACTGAAACATATATGCATTGGTAGATCATATTACTGAGGGAAAATGTATTATCTTGCATTTGAAGTACTATT